ACCTAAATATAATTCTTTTGAATTCCTTATCAGGGAGTTCCAATGCTGCGTCTTCCTCAGGGATGTGTTTTGGGTCTGTATCCTGGTCCCTTGTTTCTCCTGCTTTATCTTGCTTCTTTGTGTGGACTGTGATGCTCTGTTGTCTCCAAGGCATTGTGACGTTTTTGTATTTATATTTAATTGGTGAGGTTGGACAATCTACTTCCGTAGTGATACTGCCTTGGAAACCCAAGGAGGGGTCACTATGAGTTGGGTCTGACTCAAGGGTGAATAACAACAAACAACATATGTTGGAATGACTTGTCCACAATTTTCATTTTCTTTGTTTTGTTTGTATGTTATCTGTACAGGCAGGGTACTGTGCTGTGCTCCTCTGTTCACTAGTTGACAGCACTTATACACTCACCACCTGTCTTCTTTCCTTTGTCAGCCTCTCATATGTCCTTGTTGACCCTGGCAAACAGAGCCTGTTCTTAGGTCCCTGAAACCCGAATGATAATGCTATCACTTTAAAATCCAAAATGGTTGCCACTTGTAAACATTCAAAATGGCTGTGCCCTCAGCCACTTTAAATATCCAAAATGGCCACTACTTGTAAGCATTCAAAATGACTGCACCCTTGGTCACTTTAAATACCCAAAGTGGTCACTGCTTGTAAACATTCAAAATGGCTGTGCCCTCAGTCACTTTAAATATCCAAAATGGCCACCGCTTGTAAACATTCAAAATGGCTGCACCCTGAGTCACTTTAAATATCCGAAATGGCTGCCATGTGTAAACAATCAAAATGACTGCGCCCTCTGGACAGCAGAAAGTCCACAGCTCAGGTTGTCTTCCTCCTTGCTGTTTCCCTTCCTTGTCATAGGCCACTAGGGCAGTTGTCCCTGCAGCCCTTGATGATCGGGACTGATCTTTAGGTCAATTCTCAGGTTCCAACACCACTTGGAAATATTCAGGCTGTTGGTCTTGTCAGAGTAGCTGACAGTCCGCAACTACGACCGTCTCTGTACTCACTGTTTTCATTCAGGTTTTTCCACTAATTGGTGCCTAATCCACTTCTGTATAGTTCCTTTCAAAGCTCAGGGCTCCAGGATTATCTTCTGTATCTCTGTCAATTGGTTTTTCTTTTCTTTGTTGAGGAGGGTCTGTGTCGCTTGTCTGCCTATTCCTCCATCTTACCAGAAGTCCTAATTCTAACTTTTTAAGGAATCTCCATACTGCTTTCCAAAGTGGTTGTATCATTTGACAGTCCCACCAGCAGTGTAGGAGAGTCCCAGTGTCTCCACATCCTCATTAGCATTTGTTATTTTCTGTTTTGTTGAACTTTGTTATTAGTGCTCGGGCCAGAAGGTATCTCATTATTTTGATTTGCATCTCTCTACTGGCTAATGATCGTGAACATTTCTTCATGTGTTTGTTGGCCACCTGAATATCCTCTTAGGTGATGTGTCTATTTATGTCTTCTGCCCATTTTTTAATTCTGTGTATAGGATCGTATCATTAGCAAATAGGGATAGTTTTACTTTTTTCTATAAATTTTAGAGATAAGTCCCTTATCAGATATGTCATTGACAAATATTTTTCCCCAATCTGTAGGTTCTCTTTTGTCTCTTTTGGAGAAGTCTTTTGAAGCACATAAAAATTTAATTTTTAGAAGGTCCCATTCATCTAGTTTATCTTTTGCTGTTTGTACTTTTTGGGTTATGCTTGACAGTCTATTTATGCCATCACTTAGGGCCCTTACATTTGCTCCTGTTTATTCTTTGAGGAACTTTATAGTTTTAGGTTTCATATCTAAGTCTTTCATCAATCTGGAGTTAGTTTTTGTGTATGGTATGAGGTACAGATCTTGTTTTATTATCTTGCAAATAGCTATCCAGTTTTGCCAGCACCATTTGTTGGAGACCATTTTTCCCCATGTAATGGATTTCAGCCATTTGTCAAAAATCAGATGACCACAGGTAGATGAATCTATTTCTGGGTTCTCAGTTCTGTTCTACTGGTCTATCTGTCTGTCATTGTACCAATACCAGGCTGTTTTGACTACTATGGCTATATAGTAGGTTTTGAGATCTGGGAGTATGAGACCTCCCACTTTGTTGTTCTTCAGTAGTGCTTTGCTTATCTAAGTCTTTTTCCTTTCCTTATAAAATTAATGATTGTTTTTTTCCATATCCTTAAACAATGTTGATGGGATCTGGATTGGGATTGCATTGAATGTATAGATTGCTTTGGGTAGTGTTGACATTTTCACAATGTTCAATCTTCCTGTGCATGAGCATGGTATGTTCTTCCATTTATGTAAATCTCTTACAGCTTCTTGAAGGAGTGTTTTATAGTTTTCTTTGTACAGGTCTTTTGTGTCCCTAGTGAGATTTATTCCCAAGTATTTTATTTTTTGATAGCTATTGTAAATGGTAGGAGCTCTGGTGGCATAGTGCCTAAGACATTTGACTGCTATCCAGAAGGCTGGTGGTTCAATCCAACCAGTCACTCCTTGGAAGGAAGATTGGGCAATCTACTTCCATAGTGATCTGCCTTGGAAACCCAAGGAGGGGTCGCTATGAGTCAGATCTGATTTGATGACTGGCATTGAGTTTTTTTTTTTGTTGTTGTTGTTGTAAATGGTATTGATTTCCTTTTCAGCAGTCTCTTTGCTGGTATAGAGGAATCCAACTGATTTTTGGATA